GAGAGAGAGAGAGAGAGAGAGTGAGAGGACTGTGCCGTTTCGGTCGCGATAAAAAAAGAACCACACCTGTGGCATTTCCTGATTGCCATTTTATTTCCGCTTTGTTCGGTGGTGGATGTGTGCGTGTTGGCGGCGACGTGGTGGTCACTCATGCGCGTCAACACCGCCACATCTGCTGTCCACCTTCGTTTCACCCCCCGCATGGTTACCATAGCGTTGCCGTATTTTTCTCTGAGTTTAACGTGCAGCAGGAGAAAACTGTGCTGTGTGCTTCTCTTTTTGTTCTTGTTTTTGCCTTTCCCTAGTGTGTTTGCAATGGCTCAGCTAGTGGGTGATACTGCTTGCTTTTGCCTTTGCCTTCTACTCAACCGCCCCCCTCCTCCTTTCCCTCACCCCCACCCTGCGCATTTCCCCTCTGTAGTACTTTCTTACCTTTTCTCCTCTCCCGTTCCGTGTGTTGGTTGCTCAGCCATTCCCTCTATCTCTGTCTCACCCTCCACAGGCACACAGAGACGCTGGCCCTTATAGGCACACACACACACACATACGAGCGTCTCTTTGTTCATGTTGTTGAGTTCTGTTTTTCTCAGTGCTTCTTTTTTTGATGTTTTTGCTCCGCGAGATCGAGATTTCATCCTAATCGAACAGTGGCGACGCACAGCATTTCCACCCTACATGTATTTAAGAAGGACTGTTTCTTTTTTTCGTTTTTTTTTTTTCATTGCTTTTGGCTTTTTTCTCTTTTGAGCGTCAATCGGAGGAGGGACACCGCACGTCGGAATGCGTTTGTGTCTTTGTGTGTGTGTGTGTGGAACACTCGCTGAGAAATGAGGGCAAATATTGACAAAAAACGAACTAAACACGATGACAAGAACAACAACAACAACAACAAAAGCAGCAGCAGGATCGGGAGAACCGAACATGAAGCTGAATTGACATCCAAACGGGCAGAGCGAACGTTTCTATCCGGTGATCGATGAAACGCATAAGACAAACACGTATTGGACAGGGCCAGTCGCCGACAAGTAACGAAAAAAAAAATGGTGGGGATGCGGCGGAAGAGGGTGTGTGGGAGCTGTGCCAGTGCGTCCTCACGCTCTCTTTGCTTCCTGCCCCTTGGCTTTCCACTCCGTGGACGGGCGCTGGCAAGACGTTGATGCTGACTTCTGTTGCCTACGCAGCGTGTGTACACGTATATGCATGGTGAGGCCAAAGAAGGACAAGAAGAAGAACAAATACTGATATGAATAAATGTGAAGTGAATTTACCTGTGCGCTGTCTATTTTTATTGTTCCTACGTTAACTGTACGGGCTTATCGTGTGAGTCTCCACAACTTCTCGCATGCCTGCTCCATTTTTTTGGGCAGTTTTTGTGCCTTTTTTTTGATCCCCTCTTGGGTCTGCCAACGCTTGTTCACCCCACTTGTCAATGCAAATGCCCGCGCACGCTGGCCACCATAGAGAGCTTCAATGCTGGGCATGCAGAAAGGCTCTTTCCACGTGTGTGCGGCTCTGTATTTTTTCCGTTGCCTTACCCCAAACAACAGCAACAGTGAATTGAGGGAACAAAAAAGCGGTCTCAATTTGGTCCTGCAGAGGGAAAAAAAGTAAGGATGATCAAGTGAATGCGTTTATTTGTTCGCTTCACTATGATCCAGCTGTTTTTTTTTTTACCCGTTTATCAGTGCTCTTTGTTTTCATCTTGTCATTATTTCTGCTGGTGCTTTTCATTTGTTGTGATTGGCTTTTTGAAAGGGGGTTGAAGTCTGTGAGACGGAGCGAGAAAGATATAGAGAGGGACAGTATGGTGAATAAGAGCGAGAGTCGCAGAAATACGACGGAAGAAAGATGTGTCTCTTTAGAATTATTTCTGCCCTTACTATCTTCTTCTCTCCTCCTTCTTCACCTACACTTCTTCGCTGTGCATATGTGTGTGTGTGTGTGTGTGTGCGTTCGTGTGTGTGGCCATGTTATCTGTTATTATCTTTTTGTTTTTCTTTTGTTTTTGAGGCTTTTCCCCGTTGTTTCGCTTTACGGACCCTCCTTCTGGCTATTATTGTTGTCTTGTTTCTATATTAAGTCTCATCATGTGATTTTTTTTTTCTCGTTCGACTGATATGACTTCATGGGTGTCCAACTTCGCCCATGAACACGCAGTGCACGTGCAGAGGGGGAAGGGAAGATGACGCACGCGTGTTGGTGCCGGAGGGGGAGCCTGTGGTCATGTGCTCGGGATCATTTCCTCTTCCTTGTTCTCGACGAGTATCCATCGATGGGAAGCTGTACAACAGCCCACACTCGCCATCCCAGTTGTCTTTTTTTTTCTTTGTTGCGAGCCGCAACACCTACTCCTACTTCTACTCCTCTTTTGAAGAAAATCTTCTAGTCTCTGTGCTGTAGGCGCGTAGCAGGATGCCTTCGCTGTTGTCGCTGCAGCACCGCGCGGATGCCGTGCTGCATCAACAACTACGGATGGTCGAAGAACATCAAAAACAACATCAGCGGGAGCAGCAGCAACGGTTTGGACGGAGGGGGAACGGTATGGCGACGCCTGGGCAGTCGCCCATCCAGCAGGGACACGGGTGCCAATCCCCCTTAGCGGAGATCAGCGTGGACACCGTTCCACTGAACGGGCATGGTGCAATGGATGCGGACGACGACATCCAGAGTCTCATCCGTGACGCGTTCTCGCTCGCTGCGAGCCATAATCCGCTCAAGAGAGAGGCTGTTTTGTCGTCCTATTTATCTGACACTGACAACATTTACTTGTGCGCTATGAACACCGCGTATCGCTTGTACGGGGAACACAATGGCTGGGTTGAAGAGGAGGAGGATGAGGAATATCCCGTAGGGCCTAGTCGCTGCGTCAGTGTGCCAAACGAAGTGGATCGTGACTTTGCTTTTGGGTCTTCTCCCATTTCTGACCAAAGTGTTGCGGCGACAACACATCACGATCTTGAGGGGCTGCTTCTTGGGACGCCGTCAAGGACACTTCCACGCCGTTCCGCTGGGGTTGAGGAAGCGCTGGCTAATCAAGCATTACAAACTACTTCGGGACTTTCTCCCAGTGCACGGCGATTGTTTGACGCGCATGAGAGCGCCGCTAGGAAGCGGGGGATTGACAGAGGGCGGTGGGCTGGCAATAGGTCCCCGTAGACCCTCGACACTATCGACTTCTTCATGCTTGTACATTATATACCACCGTACATACTGGAATCTGGAGCGTTGCTTGTTCGGGGCCATGAGCCTTTTTAAAATAGCTTATGTGCTCTACGGTGACTCTTATATCCTTTCTTCATAATTCCATTTCTATTTCTATTTCTTCTTCTTCTTATTATTATTATTCTCCCTGATGGGGGCGTAGGTCGTTTTTCTAGCCGTTATCAACGTCTTCTCTGCGAGGGACGTGCGCCAGAAAAGGAGAACAGCTGATATTGCACCAATTTTTTTATTATAGAGATAGCGCAAAGGGAGGAAGAAATACTTCCTTTAGGTGGATACAGAGCCGTTCCTCGACGCCCGCACAGTGATTATTTTAAAAAGAAAGCATATCTACACACAACAAGACACACGCACACACACGCGCAGACTTTTGCTTTCCAATTTGTTCCTGCTTTTTTGGGGGAAAAGAGGTAACAATCGTGAAAGAGGGCACCGGAAAACCAACGAGAGAAGAATACTCACCGGGTTTTTCTCTTGTGTCTGGACGTGTGCCACGAGAATCGTGGTGACAACGATCCAGGGGACCCTTTCGTCTGTGGTTTTGTTTATCATCAGTGAAATCACGCCGGGGAAAGAAGGGAAAGTGGGAGGGAAACGATTGGGAGGGTATTTCCCTTTGCAGTTGTTGGATTTGTGTGGGCTGGTTGGCTCGCCTTTACACCCACCAAACTCAAATTGGCTAGACCAACGGAGCTTTATTTGTTCGACGTGGAAGATTGACGCGCAATCACGGAATGAGGTGCTGTGGACGCAGTGTAGCAGATGTCATCATTCTTACCACCCTCTTCGTGGTGACGAGTTACTCGGCACATAGCTACTACACATTTCTTTTTCCCGAGACCCTGAGTGCGTTGGCTTTGGCCTTCTTGCAACCGTTTAGGCGGGAGATAGCGCGACCAACTTCCTCTTCCCCTCTTCACCTCAACTACTTGTTTGACGTCTCACCCAAGAATTGGATTATGTTTGGCGTCTCTGTCTTTCTTTTTGCACTCGCAACGTGGGCGTACGTTGCGGCAGTGGTTACCGATCCCGGTCGTGTGCCGCAAGCATTTAGGCAGCGTTCTCCAAAGAGTGCTTCTTTAGCGTTGAGGCTGGCAGGTGGTCTGCATATGTGCCCAGTGTGTGCCTCATACAAGCCACAGCGGGCACACCACTGCAGTCGTTGTAGGCGCTGTGTCCTAAAGTATGACCATCACTGCCCGTGGCTCGGGCAGTGTGTGGGGTTTTTCAACTACAAACAATATCTTCTTGTGGTATTCTACACATTTATCTTTACGCTCTGGGTGTGCGTTCTGTTGTTTGTGGCTATTGGATCATATATTGTTCAACACTACCAAATTGTCGGTGGAAAGATCGTGCATCGTAACGATGGAGAGTGGTCCGTGTGGCGCAATGGGAAATGCTGGACAGGGCCACTTGTGCTGGATGGAGGTGTTCATCCTAAGAAGGCTACTGGAAGAGAAACTGGCATTATTACTTCCAATGGCTATTTTGGAGGAATGGACGTTTGCCCGCCATTTTTAGGGGTGTACGTATGCCTTACAGAAGCGTTAATCTTCCTAGTTTTGACAGCGTCATTGTTGAAAAAACACTTTTGGTTGGCAAGACACAACTCAACTACCCTTGACCTTGTTGTTCATCAGCATCAGTTGGAGGAAGGAATTGCCACTGGTCCTCCTGTAAACCAATTCGACGTTGGTGTCAAGGCGAACCTTCAACAAGTCTTTGGTGATGGTGACGAGCACGGAGAACACGTGCATCCCAATTTCATTGTGAGGTGGTTCTGCCGCTTGCTGCCCTTTCTTGCGTACCCCAAGCAGTTGGATTTCACCGATGCTTCGCAACTGAGCAGTGGTCGTGAAGAGTCTCCATTTGTTTCTCCTTTTCCCGCAGCATCACACATGGCGTTGACAGTGCCGAACTACGGGACGCTTAGACAGGTGGGTCCTGGCAGCGCCACTTCCGACAGGGGTCTTGGGGGAAACTACCACGGGCGGCTCCCGTTGCAGTCTCAGAGACCGATGGAGCTTCTGCGAGGAATCTGTTTCCCCGCTCTGCCGCATCCGACTGGAGATGTGGTTGTGTAACGATGCGATACCGCACGTCTGGATGTAGGTGTGTGTATGTGTTTGCGTTTGGAGAGAATGAGAAGCATGACAAACGCATGTTAATGAATCTCAAAACAAGTGACAGAGAGGGTGAGTTGGCTGGGACCTGGTCAGTAGAGCAGACATGTTGCTATGTGCTTAGTTTTGCAGGGGATTGCAAAACGATCCTACACAGCCAATGACGGAAGATTGTGAATGAAGAAAAGAATTGACATACCGAAGTGAGGCAAAGATATACTTCTATTCGGGCGAATCTGGCGAGTGGGAATGAAGAGTTGCTGGTGTCTTTGAGACTTTCAATTGATTTCCCCATTCGTGACTGACTTTAGTTGTTTTATTTTTTTCCCTTTCGCCTTGGTCTCTTTTTGTTTTTTCACCTCAATTTTTTTCCTCGTTGGGCGCATACTTGGATATGCAGCAGGGAGAGCGCCATGAAGCGGTCACAGGTGGTGGTCTCGTGCGCTTTAACTTCTTTTTTCCACCCAACGCCCTCACGGCTCCAGTGTGGCGGTGGGCGGTGTGGCAGTGGTGGTAGTGGTAGCGCTGGCGGCGTCTCCAACATTGAGAACTTCGCAAAGATTCTTTCGCAGGCTAAAAACAGTTCATCAGCTGGTCAGTCATCTTCGGATTTTTTCGATGGTCGCTTTGTGGGAGGGAACCCCGTCATGGACCCCTCTATGCTGCAGGACATGCACCGTACGCTCAATCAGTCTCTGACGCCGGAGATGCGTGATTCGATGCGTTCCATGATGGAGGGCCTGCGGCGCGGGGATGGACTGCCGCAAATGGGTGTGATGGCGTTTGGTGTCGGGGAAAATGAAAAGGGCAAGAAGGTTGCCAGGGGTGCAAAGATGGCGTATGACCCAAATACCGGGAAAATCTCAAAGGACTTTGTTGAGAAGCAGCTGGAGGATGATGATCCCATGCTACCCAAAGAAACGGTTGGGGACTACAGTACGGAGGGGTGTGTTGAAGTGGAGTTTGAAGAGGACGTGAAGGAGCACGCGAGCAAATCTGCCGAAACGATTTCCGAGGTGGAAGTGACGATTGAAGAAGCTCCATCCCCTGGGAGTTGCAGCAGCAACAGCAGCAGCGGCGGCAACAAGGAGAGGGCGTGACTTGTGGACCACAGTGTAGCGGAGCGTCTTGGCAGCCGAGATGCTTCTGTCTGTGTGGCACTTAAGCAAGTCATGCGCGTCGGCTTCCCAGCAAGAAGGAAAACCGGATGCTATGTGTCTTGTTGCTGAATTTTTTTTCGTTTTGGCAGGTATCACCCCACGGAAGGGTGATGACTGGGCCGCAAAGGTGTGAGAAGAAGAACACCGGAAAGGGCACAAGGTCACCCCACTCTAATTAGCATCTGTTTTTTTTTGTCTGCGGGGTGGGAGGCGTTTCACTCTTTTATTATTATCACATGCCTTCAACATTCGAAGAGCTATTCATGGGCACACCGCCTGGGGCGAGGTGACTGCTTTGTGGTGCATATTCTCTGCGGCTTTCCCCCTTTTTTTCTCTCTCTCTCTCTCTGTTCTCACATTGCCTCCTCATTGATTGAATGATCATAGCCATTCTGCGCAGATAAAGAGAGTGAACAAGCAACCAAGGTTTTTCCCCACCAACCCCGCAAAGAAAAAGAAAAGAACATGCATTCTCTCTCTGCATTGATCATTGCAGTGCTTGCTGCCCAAACTGTTATAACCCTTCCCTTTGGTGTGAGGGCTACACTTGTGGCGTCGTCTTCTATTGAGTACTGCGAGCGTGGCAGCAGTGTTGATCCTATACCGTGCGAAAAAAAGATGGTTGTGACGCTGACGGTGGACAGTGGACAGGCAGCTGGTGTGGAAGAAGTCGTATTTGTGCGTGATGCCATGGATAAGACCAAAGGTGCTGGTGACAACCGTGTTCAGTTTTTGCCGATTCGTATGACAACAAGAAAGTCTCAGGTGCAGTACCGTTACCCGGTTTTCTACGAGCGAAATTTTAACGCCAAGCCATACGAAGAGCAGATCATGACGGATGTGTTTCAGGGATGCTCCGACGCGTTTGATTTGATGGCGACATGTGGCTTGGTCATGGATAGCAACGGGAATACAATTCCGTACAGTCAGGGGTTCTGCTGCACCTGCGGCATCTGCCAGATGGCGGGTCTCTGCCCCCCGGACAGCCGCGGAGTCCAGACGTGCAACTTATTCGGCAAATCGGGCGCAGCATCATGCCTCCGTTTCGGGGATCTGTGGTACGCTGGCTACACTGTTGGCTCGGGAGCGTCATGGTACCGTGTGTATGTGACAGTGTCATCTGGCGAGGAGAATGATACTGAACAGAACAAGACGACGCTTGAATTGGGGCCAGATGTGCTGGCGGACTCTTCGCCGGAGTTTGGCGCATGGGGTCGTCTTGTCGGTGATTTTGTGCCCCCAACCACACCACTGGATCTGTCTGGAAAAATGCTTTTTGTACCCACCTTCCCAAGATGGCATCAGCGTGTGTTGGCAGGTGCGAAGGAGTGGATGCTGCTGGACAAGGATCTCGTGACGGTTCAGGGCCGAGACTGCAACAAGGTGGGGGTGTCGTACGAGGCTTTTTCAAGTCAGGGTAGCAAGTGCTCCTTGCAGAAAGGGTCCTGCCTGGCCGACCAACTGGAGGACTACCGCGAACGGGACTTGGCGCAGGAGACTGCAGGAGGCAGGGGGAGGTACATGGCACGCTTCCTTGGCGACTTTGATTTCAGCGGTGGCAACACTTCAACAAAACCATACGTTTCATACTGGATGCGGGGGTCGCTGGCAACGATGATAACCCTCACTATTTCCGCGGATCGGCTGCAGTACCTGCTGTCAGTCTCGTCGGGTAAGATTATCTCTACACGAGTTCTGAAGGACAAAATTGATGCCAGCACAAGGGATGGTGTGGTTGAAGTAACTGTGCGGAACACTGGCACGGAGACGGCACAGTACACACTCAGCCTGGTCGACTGTACGGAGGGTATTCACCCAATGATCGCGCAGACGGTGAGCATGCGACCGAGTGAAGACGCGACACGCCGCTTTGACTTGCTCGTTCAGGACACCACGGCTGAAGGGACGATGCAGTGCAGTGTTACCCTGCGAAACGCGAAAGGCGATGTCGTGGATACGAAAATTGTGGAGTTCTTGGTGACCGCGACAGGGTGGACGAACGGCACGCAAGGCGGCAGTGCGCCCGACGGCGCCGGCATCGCTGTTGAGAGCTCAGGGCAGTCGGCATGCTCGCGGTGCGCGTGGTACAACCTGCTCTGCTTTCTAAGGAACAGCTGCTGGTGGCAGCCACTCGTATTTGTGATGATTGCGGTAGCTGTGCTCTTAATCGCTTACGTGGTGCGAAGCATGCGTCTCTGCCGCGGTGGCACCTCCAAACTGCACGTTGAGGCCAGTGAGCCTGTGATGATGCCGCAAGTGATTGTCCATCATGGGGTGTCGCCACAGAGCAGTATAATGCATGCACCGCACTAATGATTTGCGGTAGACTGCACATATATATTTATGCCTTCCCGTCTTCTTGCGTTACGAGAAAAGGGGGTAGGATGTGACTTTTGGGGTTATTTTTGTTTCATGGTTGTTTTTTTTTTCATTTTGTTATTTTTTGCCTTCTGGTTTTTTGTGGTAAAAGAAAAAAAAAACCTTTTGTTGTCTGTTGTTTTGGTTTGTTCCCTTCTTTCGTTTTATACGGGGTGCATGTTTCCGCTCTCCATTCAGCTTCGTATCAGTGGTGCTCGAGGAGAGGAGGTTCATGGTGCATTTTTTTTTTTCGTTTTCTCTGTTTTCTCATGCTACTGGTCATTCTTATTCCCTGCGCTGGGCTGCCGTATGCCTACACACAACTCTTGGGGGTACGCTATTGAGCAATTAGAAGCGTCTGTATTTCTATGCCGCATTTGTGCTGCTACTATCGCCACCACAGGTGTATTTTGTAACAAGTCTTGTTTCTGCTCTGCCTTTTTTTTTGGGGGGGGGCTTCTTCCTCCTTCCTTCCTTTTTTTCTTTTTTGTATTGCCTGAGGAAGAGGAACAAAGAAGTGGATCTCCAACAAGGGTAATGACGCCCTTTTCTACGCGGTTTCTCGTGGTGTTGTTTGCTTGTTTGCTTTGTGCCAATAACCACAACGTGGTCCATGGTTTAGTGTTTGGTGTTATTGGAGATTGGGGCTTGGGCGGCTATGCGAGTGGTTGGAACACAGAGATCATCTCAACGCGACGTTACGTGGAGGTATGTGGAAACCTTGGCTGCAATTTTACAATCAGTGTTGGAGACAACTTCTACTGTGGCGATCTGTCGTACTGCATTCAGCATTCCTTTGAAGAAGACATGGCAAACGTATCGGGCCCTTTCTTCCCATGCGCAGGAAACCACGATAAAATTGGGGGGCAGATACAGTACTCAAGTCGGAATCCGCGGTGGTACTGGCCAGACAAGTACTACACCGTCAAGCTCCCCATCGACGACACGGGGTACACAGTACAACTTTTTGCGGTGAACACACTTGACAAGTCGCTCAAGAACGGCCACCAGTTGCAGTGGTTGACGGAAGAGCTCCGAAAAAGCAATGCGCGGTGGAAAATCATTTTTGGACATTACCCTATTGTTGGAAGTGGTAGACACAAACGTGTCCCCACAGTGAACCAAATCATGCGGCTGATGAAGGAGTACAATGCACAGGCGTACTTTAATGGCCACGACCACGTCGTGGAGGTGAACAATGTAGAGGGGCGCGTGCTTGCGGCCAGCGGCGGCATGTCGCGTGGCGCAATGATGGCGCACGGCCTCGGTGGTGCGGCCCGGCGTTTTACGCTTACGTCTCCCTCCGAGTACAGCCCGTACGTGCAGCCTTGGGCCAGCCACGGCTTTATGACGGTGGACCTCGCACCGAACACGATGAACATTAATGTGTGGGATTCCAATGGCGGCATGCACTACGAGTTTGTGGTGACGCAAGATTGGATGAGTAAAGTGATGGATCTACCAGAGTCGGCTCGAAACATGTGGCCTCCACCAGAGGTGGTGCTGCAAGCGATGAAGGATGAACTCACACTTCCCCGCGGTCCTGGTGGTGGAATTGTGTTCTTAGCAAACGGGACGCGCGTGACACTTCCCGAGGGAACAGAGAACAAAAGTGGTGAAGCTGTCTCTCATCCCCCAACACCAACACCAACACCAACATCCCCACCAACGCCAACACCGGCGCCGACGCCCGCACCTGTATTGCCACCAGAACCTACGCTTCCACCGGCACCTGTCCCAGATTACGTCCGTTACGCTGTGGCAACCGAGTGCGATGTGTGTGATGCAAAACCAAGAGTTGGAAAGCGCTTCACTGTGCACGTCAATGGTGTGACTCTGGGACCAGCGCACAGGGTGTATCTGACAGGCCGTCCTGAGGGCTGCGGTGGCGCTGAGCAGAATAGACAGATTCTGCCGGGAACCCACGTTGAGAAGCCTGATCGGAATGCACTGCTATTCAACGTCTCCCAGGTAATGGAATCTGTATACGTTTGTCTAAGTCTTGACGGTGGTGCTACGTACGGCCGGATTTTGCGAGAGGACACCCTGGATGAATCATTTGTCTTTGCCATAGAAAACATCTAGCGGTTGTATGCACTGTATATATATATATATANTGTGTGTGTGTCTGTGTTTAGTCATCTTTCCAGTGTTGCTGCTGTTAGTCTCTTCCTTAAAAGAAACTCATTGCGTTATATTTTTTTTTTCGTTTCTGAGAGGGGCTTCTTCCTTTAACACATCTTGTGTGTGTCTGTGTGAGGGGAAGGACGAAAGTAGCAAGTCAGGAGGAGGGTTGCCGAAGAGACTAGTACATGAAAATGAAAATGAAAAATGAAGAATTAAACGCTGTGGGCGCATCTGTTTTGTTTCCTTTTCAATTGTTCTCTTGATATATAAATATCTAGATATTACTGCTCTGAAGATAGCAAGAGGAAAACGACTATTGGAACAGCTCTATACAAGAATTTGACGCCGAGGTAGGCCGCGATTCGGTGATACAGCCATGCGCACGGAAGGTCCGCAAGAACAAAAAAGATATTGCTTTCCTGTACGCGGAGAGGATGCGCTAAATATAGAGCCAATGAGTCCCGTCGGACGTCCGTTGGTTTTTCTCCTTTTCATTCTCCTATTGTGCGCTTATCATGTGTCACTTTCTGTAGTCACGGCCGGCCTGAGCCGCTGGGGCGCTTTCGCACTGGCACTTGCCACGACTCTCACAATAGCCCTTCTACTGCTTGTGGTAATTATGGCGTACCTGCATTGTCTTCAAAAGGTAACAAGGTCAGCTGTTGCACCAGAGCGAGCTCTTGTCATGCAGGAGGAAGAGGAGACTGTTGTAAAGATGATCCCTAGATCGCCTCGCGCGTCGACAGCGTTACCACCGCAACATGAGAGTACCTTAACTGTTACTCATACCAATGAGAGCGACAATGAAAGCCTGCAGTCTCCGCGGGCACCGCAGTCTACTCGGTCTCTCTCTTCTTCAATTCCGAACCCCGCAATCATCGAGAGGAGGACACTGTCTTTGCCAGTGCTGCGTCAGTCGTGGTTGCCCCCTTCTCCACCATTCCTCAATTTGGATGATAATATCACTGCCGACGGAAGGGTCACAATGATGCGTCGAAGCGCCAATAACGTGGGAAGCAGTGATGTGCAGGTGGAGACTATGGCAAAGAGCGCTATTGGCACGCAACGTCCGTTGAACCGTTCCCAAATGTTGTTTAGCGATGATGGGCCAAGTGGAAACCTTACTGTTAACAGGATGTGCTCGTTGAGCCGGCGGGAATTGATCCCATTGCAGTTGCAGGAACATCAGCAGCAGCAACGGATAACATTGACATCGAATTCTTTGATGGATCCAGCAATCACGGCTATTAATCTGACGCCTTCCACTCGCGCACCGCTGCCTATCCGTGGTGGACTACCGGTGGAACTGCAGTTTGTGGTCCTTGTTCTCTTGGCTCTGGTGATGCTGCTGCTACTTGCAGGGTCTTTTTGGATATCATACAACACAGGTGAGGTTATGGCAGCAATTCCTGTTTTTGCCGCTCCGCTACTATATTTGCACGTGGTGGAGTTTGCATGTACTGTTAGTGTGAGAAAAGAAAATTCTGCGATGGGCAAAATACTCCGCCTCCTCGTCCACCCCGCAGTACTACCACTTATAGCTCTCGTATCGCTGGGTTTATACATCGCCGTCGTGGTGATCTTAATGGAAAAAGACCTCACCTTGCTTTACGGCTATGACATCAGTGCCAATTTCGTGACGGCCTTCACGGTTGTATGTATGCTTTCCCCAGTTCCTGTCTTTGTTACGTGTTTTTCTACCAGGAGCCTTGCTTCATTTGAGGTGGAAAATAAACGCCTCCCCATCCCATCATTACCATCACCACCGATACCACCTGAGGGTGCCGCAAACGCTGAAAGGGTGGATCATCAGAATCCTTTTCAATTTCAGGCTGTCGTGTCTGGATCAATGGCAAATCCTGAAACCGAAGTGGAAGAATCAGAGCTCTCTTCCATTATGCTGTCCCGGTATGCATCTGTTCTTCCTTCGCGGGTTGGTAGCCGATCAGGCCGGTCTGTAGTTTTCGCATCGCCCTCCTCTGGTGATGTTCGCCCACCATCGATTCAGTCGGGTCCAGCAGCTCCGTGCATACGTGTTGGCTACCGTCCGCAAGTGAAGAGCATGACGCTGCTGTACGTGGCGTTCCGCGACACCCGAGTTGTCGGGTCCGCTGCGGACGCCAGTGAGGTGAGAGAGAGGAATAGAAAAATAGCACCAAAAGAGCTGCAAGAAAAGATGGCTTCCGATTTTCATGCACTGGTGGACGCGGCAAAGGAGATTGAGGTTTCGTATGGGCCGTTTGTTTTAACCGCCCACCAGGACGCTTTGTGCTTCGTGTGGGGGGTTCAGCCGCTTTCTGCGGACCCTGTGATTTGGGCGATAGACGCCGCGCAGGACTTCTTCACTGCATTTATCCCGCCAAGTGGGAGCGACCCCAACTACGCACTCGTTGCTGCGGTACTGCACTCTCCCCACACTTTAGCGACGATTGTTGGCACAAATGACATGAGCAGTGTGCACTTCCTCAGCAATGAGCATTCTGTTGGGGAACAGCTTTTGAATCGTGGCTTCCTCCTCCGCAACTATGAGAGGCGCAAGTGGTCAGGAAAGAAATTTGTGACGAGTGGCCTTATGCTTGATCGCCGAGCAGCGCATCTTGCCGCTGCACAGATCTTGACCCGCCCCGTTGGCATAGTGCCGTTGGTGTCCACCCCCGCGAGCGCGGAAGCGGCGTTGTCCGCGTCATCGTCATCGACCCCATCGCCCAAGAATGAACTGGAAGATTTCACTGTGATGTACGACTTTGTTGCGCACTTGGGGGATAAGCAAGAAGAGTGGCACCTCGCGGCACACACACGAGAAAAGTTGTCAGAGAACTTCTTGCCAGCAGTTGAGGCGACACAGGCCTTCTTCCAAGGCAACCTGAGCGCTGCCAAGACGGCCCTCGAAAAGTCAGAACCGGGTGAGGATGATGCGTTGCAGCAGCTGATGCTTTCGGACGTGAAACGCATCATTGCTACTAGCACAACATCACGGAGGTAGGCAATATTATTATTATTATTATTGCAACGGAGAATTTCTGACTGCGTTAGAAAAAAAAAGGAGAGAATAAGGATGAGGAGAGGGCGCGCATGTGTATGCTCGTGCTGGTGTTTGAATCATAAGAAATGTGGTGAAGTCGATGAATACAAGGCCTCGCCCAATGTAAGAAATATCAGCGGGTAAATAGGGCGCAAAACAACCACAACTTGAATATACAAGAATAAGCTTTCTTACTGCAAGAACAGAAGAAGAAGAAGAAGAAGAAGAAGAAGAAGAAAAAGAACCAAAAATTGAGGATGAAACTAAATCCCGCAAAAGAGGTTGAAGATTTCTTAGTCTTAGACGGCGTTGTGCAAAGGACAACATATATAAATAGTGGAGTTTTCTTTTGTGAGAAAGCGAGGATTTGTGTGTTGCTCTTCGGGATTTATTCTTCTCGCTACCATTTCTCAGAGATTTTTTTTTGTTTTGGTTTCAGCTGTGACAAGTGCTCTCAAGTCTCTTCTTCGCAGGTTTTTTTTTCTGTTTTTTTGTTTTTTTTGTTTTTTTGACTGGTCAAGCCAGTTTTCTGTTTTTTTTTTTCAATATCTTCGTTGCCGTTGCTACTATGCGGACTTGTTTTGCATCTGGCGTGTGATGCGTATTTGGCATTGCGGACAGGAGTTGCACAGCTCTGCGGATCTGTGGAGAACTCTGCGAGGGTGATGAATGTGTGTGGCTTCGAAGAGGTGGTGAAAATTGAGATGAGTCGAACGCATAATCGGCGTGGAAGGTGGAGTGGACGAGGGCCATGTGGTGGAAGACGAAGAAAAGAGCTTCGGGAAAGGGGATACTGGGTGATGTTCCTTGCTTCTGTTTTCTCCGTCCTCCTGTTGGGTCTTCGTCATACCTCCTGTGGTCTTTTTTTGGCATTCTCCCTCTGCACTTTCTCTCTGAGGGTTGATGTTCCATGCACGTGTTGTCTTGGCTAACTCGGTGTGATGCTTCCCTTTTTTTTTCTCCTCCTCCTCCTGCTGCAGCAGGGCGGGCTTTCTGGTTTGCCTCCGCTCTCATGTGTGAGGAGTCATAACTGGAACAACATATTGGAGAAAAGAACCGAGATGAATGATGCACATCTAGCCTTTATGTACTCTCCCTCCTTTCGTTTGGCGGCTTGCATCGATGTGGTCTCGTAGTGCTGAGTCTTCCCTTTTTTGTATCATTCTTTGGCTGTGGCATGGAAAGAGGCCTTTTCTCGCCGTTCACTGCTCTCGTTGTGGGGATACTTCTGCGTGTTGCTTCTTTCTTGATTGGCGTTGCGTCTCCTGCCTTGCGGGTGCGAAGGTGCTCTGCACACTTGCTTATATATATATATATATATATATATAAATACGAATTTATTTTTACTACTGTGCCCACCTTCCTATTTCTCTTTCTGTTTCTTCTTTATGAGGCACTCCTTTTTTTTAGGAAGAGGGTTTGTGTTTTTGTGGTGTTGGGCGGTTCGTACTGTCAGTGCCCACGCAGCTCACACAAGTGCCAAGGCCACACTAATTAGAATAGTGGGTTTCGAGACGGGTTGCAATGCGGCGCGCGACAAAGCGCGAGCCGCGAAAGAGACCAGCAGGCGGCGCCTCTGGGGCAACTTCCGTCGAGGCGAAAGCCGCCGGCACTGGGCGCACGCGACATCAGCAGTCGTCGTCGTTGCAGGTAAAGAAGAATGCATCGACGGCCAAGCGACATGCAAAGGGTGCTGTTCAGTCCCGCAGTGACGAGACGCTTGTATCACCGCTCCGTGACCCCTTTCCACCGATGTTGCGCATGCCGCCAACAAAGGAGGTTTACCCTGCAGCACAGGTTGCAGTTGCGGCTAGAAACACAGAGGGGACTGCTCTCGTGCCGCGCAGTCGGATGGGGTCGGTCGATGACGCTGCTTCAGCTGTTGCTGGGATGTTTCTGCGACAATTACGATTCTGCTGTGTGGTGTATGGCGGTAAGACGCCTAGTGATAGTGGTGGTTTGGTATTTGGTAATGGGGGCTTGACGAGTGGTGGTGGTGGTGGTGGCGGTGGTAGCTCTGATGATCTGTGCGCGACAGCAGGGCCAAACTTTTACCGCAATCTGTACGAACTCCATGAATGGCTGTTTCCATGTGGCGTCTCTGAGAGCGGGCGTCCACGAGTTGCCAAGCATGCATGGCAGGCGCTTTTTTCCAAAAAGAATCGTCCCTGGCGGACATTTATGACTGCTTTAGAATCCGAGCTTGTATTGACCGATTATAATGCGGCGGCAGGTCTGGTAACAGTGCTGTACAATATCCTTCGTGCCACGTGCCGTGCACGCCGTAAGCGTATAGTTAGAATGTGTTCTCGCCTTCGTCTCGTGCAGATATGTGCCTCAATCCTTGAATCGCATGAATGCGCGTTCGCCGCGTCTATTCAGAGTCGTGACTGTAATAACATGGGTAACATGGGCATTGGCTGTAGCGCCACTGTGCGAGGCGAAGGCTCGTTGGCTTTAAATGCTGTATCAGTAGGTTCATCCTACGTGCCTTCCCTACCATTTGCTTTGACCCGCGTTTTCGGGGGTGTTGGAATGCTGCTGGGTCTCTGCGGGTTAGAAAATACAAAGGTGCTTGCGGCGGTGCGCCGCTCAACGTTTTTAGCAACATTTCTGCGGGCTTCCGAGACACTCTACACTGCGTTAGAACACGCCCTGGCCATTCTAGGGTCTCTCGATGGGGGAAGCACAGTCGCGGCGACAAATTCCAGTAGTGATTCCAGGGCACGTCTCGACGCAGCTGTTTGGCGCGTCTTTCCCACATGCGATACCCTTCTGCATTTAGTAGTGTCACTCTTTCAGCTGTCGGTTTCGCCTCTTAATGTGGGACTTATTGGCTCTCTTGGGGTAAAGCTCTGTATACAGATCGGTTGCCTCGGATATAACTTCCTATCTAAAAATGCACTGCTGGAGAGTGCGGCGGTTCGTTCCTTTAAAGAACGCCTTGAAGCTCTGACGTTTTGGTCAGTTGAGCTTTTGTGCCGGCTATGCTGTACGGGGAAGGGGAATATACAGGCTCTGGAGGCTGCAAGACATCATTGCGCTGTTACGATGTTGTGTACATTCAGCACGTTTCCGTTTGGGCGCGCAGATATTGTTCTCTCTGCGCTCAAAGCATTGAATGCTTTGACGGTCAAGGACAGTGGCTGTCGTGAGCAGTTGCAAGGCGACACGGGGAAACTCTCTACGCTTGTGCGAGGTGCCGTCGCGGCCGCTGAGGCAGCGCAACGCTCGCCGGTGTACTGGCACAGGCTGTACCTGTCGCTGTATGCATTATTCGGCGTCATCACGCTACCTGGTGAAGCAGCGGTGGCGCAGCAGAGAGAGGCGACCACGCCGTCCGTCCGCGCCCTTCCCACACAGAACCTCTTTTCGCTGTTTCTGCAGACTGCAAACGACTCCAGTGCCTTGTTGCCGGGAGCTGATGCGACGACGTTCCCTCTCTCGTTTCTTCCAGTTGATTTGCAACCGAATGCTTTTTCACCAGAGTTGCGCGTGAACGGTGGCTATGAGTCGTCGACCGACCCGTTTCTCTTTGCTGCACCGCATGGCTTGCCATGGGCGTTCTTGGATGTTGAGATGCCGCCATGTCGCGAGGCTGTCTCCTCTCTTTTTCCAACTGTGGGACTGAATTTGCAGGAGTTGGGGCAGTGCCACCTGCTCCCCCAGGCTTCCCAGGGACTACAGCCGCCCTCAGCAGAGACACGCATACAGGTGTTGAAGCACCTCATTGAGCGTTTATGCACCTCACTGTGCCATATGGATCGGATCATTTATGAGCGGCCTGCGCTGTCATTTTCACCTCTGCTGCGGGCCATGATGGATGGGGAGGACACGACGGAGTCTGAGGTCCTACCTAATGGTGCGAAGCCGACACAACAGCAAACACCATCTTTTCCGGGGCTCTTGAGATTTCAATCAGATTTTGAGAGTGGTAACTTGCAGCGCGCTGTTGCCATTGACGCAAATGAGTACGATCTCGTTTTGAGCCCTGACACCAACACAAATTGTCATGTGCAGTGGTTCTGTTTTAGCGTGGAGCAGTATACACCTGGTGCCGCCTACCGCTTCAACATACTCAACATGGAGAAATCCACCTCTACATTCAACGAAGGGCAGCAGCCACTCATGCTTTTCGTGGAGGATTTATCTTCTGCAATCAGAACAAACGACCCACCGCAGTGGACGCGTTGCGGACATGACATTTTCTATTACCAGAATTTGTATCGACGCCCAGTGCGATGCACCACCACTGCCAACAATGCGAGTGGTGCTGCCGCGTCGCCTGCAGAGGGTGGGAATAACAACGGCGGCCCCGGCGATCGTAAATTAGGTGGTGGGCAGCAGCCTTCCAAAAAAGCGAAAAATAAGAAATCGGTTAGCACGAAACGCTCAAAACCTCGGAAGGAGGATGGGGTATCATTTTGCTATACACTGAGCTTCACTGTTACATTTCCGCAAAAAAAAGGCAGAGTCTTTTTGGCAAACTGCTTTCCATACACGTACTCGAACTTGCTGGCGGATGTGCAGCGGTGGCAGATGCAGGCCAGTGCCTCGTTGGGAACCTCCATCGTGCTAACAGTTCAAAAGCTCTGCTCAACAGCTGGGGGGCTTCCGGTTCCCATTCTCACAGTGACAGCGAGCAGCGACACTGATGGAAATGATGGCAATGATGACAAGGGCGACATGAACAGTGGTGAGGAACCAGCCCCAAAGATGCCGATTGCGATTAAGGAGCGTCCGGTCTGTATCGTGACGGCTCGGGTTCACCCTGGTGAGAGTAATGGCAGTTGGATGATGAGAGGTATTGTGGCGTCGCTTCTCCGTGATGAGGGAGAGGCACACGCCTTGCGTAGTCGGTTTGTGTGGAAGATTATTCCCATGCTCAACCCTGACGGCGTAGTTGTGGGGAATCACCGCTGCTCACTGGGTGGGGCGGACCTCAACCGTGACTACGCCGATCCCAAACCGTGGGTGAACCCTGTGATTTACTCGCTGAAACGGCTTGTACAGCATATGATTGAACAGGAGGAGCGTCACGTGGCTCTCTTTGCGGATTTTCATGGACATTCACGCGCCAAGAACTTTCTCATCTATGGGTGCACGCGCCGCGCTGAGACACAGGAGAGCAAGATTTCTGAAAAGGGACCTGCAGCAGCGTTGCCATCTTCACCGGCAGTCCCATCTTCCAATTTGGCTCCTGGCCAGCGAAGGTACGTGCCCAGCGTCACAACGTCGGTAGGGACGGCATCCACATATGTGGAGAAACTTCTCCCGCTTCTCTTGGGTGAACTAACGCCTGCCTTTGCGATGTCACAGTGCTCTTTTGTGGTGCAGAAAAGTAAGCGACATACGGGGCGTGTTGTGATGTACCACCAGTTTGGGATACGCATGAGTTACACCATAGAAGCCACAATGATGGGAGGTAAGAATGATGGCGTAAGCAGCTACAACACTGCTGTGTTGCAGAGAAGAATAACGTCTGGCGGGAAAAAGCAGGGCCAACAGCAATATGAAGAGGAAGAAGAGAGTGAAGATAATGAAAAAAGAGAAACCATGGATGAAGGGCCTTTAGAGGTCTCTTACAACACTCGCCACTATGAGAACATGGGAGTACTGCTTGCCCGAAGCGTTGGTTTGCTTGCGGGGAATGGTGAACGCGCTGGCCAGGTGGATAAAGAGGCAATTGAGCGTGCATGGTCATTGCTGCAAATGGCTGGGGGGGTAGATACGTCACCGGCTCCAATCTCTCCGCTTATGGGCGGCTCGTACGCCTTGGCGACGCGACGGGAACGCCGCCTGGAGGGAAGCAAGGCGAAGAAAGAGAAGGGAAGCCCTGTCGCTGTGTCATTGGCGGAGCAGCGGGAGGAGATGCTGCGCGCGCTGTTTGTGCGCCCGCGACGTTCTGCTACACGGCCGTCAGTGAGCGGCGGCGGCGCCCTGCTGGAGAGCGATTGCGATGAGGATGAGTTTGGCGTGGAGGATGAGGATGACGAGGAGGAAGAGGATGAAGAAGACGGAGAAGATGAGAACGATGATACACCCGGAAATGCGGCTGGCGAGGCCGACGGAAGTGACGATGAGGACTACGACGACGCTGACGGGGACGATGGGGACGACGACGATGATGATGGGGACGAAGAAGAAGAGGGGATTCCGTCCTCCTCAGAGGACACGGACAACACAAAGGAAGAGTGGGTGATGAGGATGTAAAAGAGTGGAAGGATAGGCATCTCTTCTGCGTGCACGTATCACCTTACCAGCGTTGTGCGTCTGTACTTTTTGATTCCTTTCATTTTTTTTGTTTGCGTTGTTCGTTGATGCTTCTCATATATATATATATATATGTGTGTGTGTGTGTGTGTGTGCATAAACATATATATTTTTTCTTGGCCTTTCTTTCACTTTTACACGAATTGCGGACACCCCTATGTACATACATAACACACATACCGGCAGAGAGACTGTTGGAGGAGATGGATGTCAGCGACTGGCTTCGCCCGAAGAAGCTCAGTGCGAATGCCCCCACTCTGGAGCACTACACCACGACACTGGACGCCGACACTGGTGCCGCCGCTGGCTCGACGGCGAACACCAATCTTCCACTTAGCAAGGGGCAGCGCTTTATTATTGGTCTTGGAATCGGCGGAATGGCCATCTTCATCATTCGAGCTACGTATCACAGTACCCGTTCAGGGCCGCCTCAAATCTTATGGACCACTCCACAGGTGGTAATGAAGAAAAAGGAGAAGCATCAACCTTTACTGGATAATGCCGAGAATGTTTGTGGCACGAGGCCCACTCTCGTGTTAGTAAACTTCCCCGGAGAAATGCGGGGACAGCTCGAGCACTCACTGCGTCCACTGATCAATGACACAGAATTGGAGCTGCTTTATGCGCCTGTTGTTTTCTTCCATGATACGATGGAGGTTACGCCTGGAAACATCGAGGCTGTTGTTCGCCAAGAGGTTCTTGCAGCATTCAGTGATTTGGGGGGTGACACTCCTTGTGCAGTGTATCGCTCAGCCCTTGTTGTGGATGGTGAAGCTCCAAATATCTTTTGGACCCCCAAAGAGGCCATGAAGGCTTCACAAGGTCGAGTGTTTCACGAACGGCACTGTATTGGTTACACCGTGGATGGTGGGCGGGTGGAAATCTTGTTGCACGACACGTACGGTACGGTGGGTGCTCCCTTTGAAAGCACACCCAAGGGTAAGTCGGACTTCCCCTCCGACGACGTGGATGGCGTAATTCGGTGTTGCTTCTGTGCATCTACACGCACATTTGCCATTGGTAGCGAAGAGGAGTATGATACCATCGGGGACCTTGCGCTGTCTGGTCCAACAAAGCGCATCGAGGGCCCGTACGCGGCGTCCTTTCGCGTCTTGTGGCTGAGCCCCGTACCGCTTTTCGCGATGCTTGGCGCTGCTTTGCGGTACAGTCGCGTGGAGTTCGACGGCTGGAGACGGCTCGCGAAGCCGGGCATTGACGGTATATCACCTGCTTGGGTGGTTCGGCAATTGCGGCGGTTGTTGTGGTGGAGGTCTGGCGAGGTCGAGGTCAATGCGGACGGGCCGGCGACAGCGGCAGCATCAGCATCAGTGGAGCAGCCGCAAGACGATGAGTTTTTGTTGGAAGTGGAGATCCTCCAGGATCCCACGTGCGTACAAGCGTCACACCGCGATATGCTGAGGGACGTACTGGCAAAGAACTGGGTGAAAAGTTCAAAGAATATCAAAAATGGGTATGAAGAATTGGTGGTGACGGCTGGTCTTCCCACTGGGGCTGGTGCCGTTTTGCGTTGCAGCTTGCGTCCGCGTCTTACTGTATTTCAGGCGTTGCGAGAGGCATGGCGACTTGTGGCGCTCGTGTCGTGTTTGAAATATGACGTGCGATGCTTTCGTCTTCTTGTACCAGTGCGGCTCGTTCCACCGTCTACAACGACGGTAGCGAAACCGATAGCAAGTACCGAGGCATCGTGGCCACATGTGCCTTTGTACCCACACTCAAAGGAAGAGGCAGAGTCATCGTACCCATCCTTCTACTCTGATGCGCAGTACTTTTGTCTTGTGGAGGAGTGTGGCCGTGTGGAGGCGGAGGAGGCATTTCGGCGTATTCGAGAAGGCGACGTGAAGCAGCTGCACTACGTCGTGGCGGATTACATGACGGATGAACTCAAAAATTGAATTGGCGAAAATGACATCGGAGGAAAGGGAAAAGCAGGGTATTACAATGATGGTGATGATGATGTTGATGATGTTGTTGTTGTTGGCACTTCTGTGCCTATTGCCATCTCCCTCTCTTTTTCTTCTACTTGTTTTCGTATGCTCTTTTTCTTTCCTTCCTTTCCTGCTTATCATCTCTTATATGCTTTTTTTTTTTTCAGAAGGTGAGAAGGAAGATGCCGAACCGTGTGCTGCTGGTGACCTTCTGTCTGTTTTTTTTGGGCCTCGCCCTCGTCGCCGAGGCGAATATTCATCTTCGAGTCGCACACGACACAAGACGTGTAATTTACCTAGGTACGTTTGCCTTTGGCCCACAGGGCGCGGCGCGGCTGCAGACGCGAGAGTTTTCCGTCCCACAGGAGATGATAGAGTACTATGGCAACGTGTCGGTGCTGGCCGCGAACACCTTGTTGGGGTTCATGCTGGAACCTACAGACAGCGTCAGCCTGGCCCGCGCGTATGAACAGTACGGCCGCGGGGATATTGGTCCCCCGCTGCTGAGCGGCAGTGCCACCAGCAAGAGTGACGTGGAGCGTACGTGCTTCATCAAGGATCCACTCGTCGCCCCAGGGCAACGCTCTGGGCGTGTGATCTTTCCCTTTTCGGGACTCTCGGTGAAAGATATCCTTGCGGCGCCGATGACGCAAGCAATCTACGACATTGGCCTTTACGCTGTCTATTTTTACAACTGTGCTGACATGCCCACTGACGGTAGGCCAGTGAAGCTCAAGACTCTTCCAAAGCGACCTATCTCTTTCAACGTTGATTTCGAATTATACTGGGTAAATGGAGAGAAGGGTTTGGTGCATCTCTCTTATGGTGACCGTGGGCTTCCAGGTATGTATGCTGTTTTTGGCGTTGCGTTTGCTGTGATGGGGGCTCTGTGGATGTCACAGATTGTCAGACAGTGGACACATGTGAAAAAGATTCATCTGCTGATGCTGTTACTCGTCCTTGTCAAGACGGCAACACTATTTATTGAGGGTATGAAACTCAATCAGTATGCCAAAACCGGCAAAGCGTCAGTGTGGGACTATTTCTTCTACGCAACGGTCACACTAAAGGGTGCCATGTTGTTCGGAGTTATTATGCTACTTGGTGCGGGTTGGTCGCTAATTCGAGAGTATCTCAGTGACATTGATAAGCTCGTCCTTCTTGCCGTACTTCCTAGTCAGGTTCTACTGAACGTTTGCCTTGCAATAATTGAGGAGACGAGTGAAGGAAATCGTAATTGGTCGACCTGGTTTGATATCCTGCAGATTCTCGATGTGGTTTGCTGCTGCTGTGTACTTTTTCCTCTAGTCTGGTCGATCAAAAAGCTTCGTGAGGCGTCAGAGACTGATGAGTCAACTGCCCGTACTATAACACGAATGAGAGAATTTCGAAGTTTCTATATTGCCATTGTGGCGTACATTTACTTTACACGTATTGTGCTGATCATGGTTGCAAACGCTCTTTCTTATGACAAGGCGTGGATCGCCAAGGCAGGGGCAGAGATTGTCGCTGTGCTGTTCTATACATACTGTGGTTTCAGGTTTAGGCCTGGGGCAAGTGTCTCCCACTACGAGGTGTTGCAACGCGTAGATGTTGTGAGTGAGGCGGAGATGAGGGAGTACGAGGGAGGTGGCAAGAAAAACCAAGAGTTGGTGCAGTGAGGTGATCTCTCTCTCTCTCTCTCTGTGTGTGTGTGTGTGCACCCCAATTGTGGGATACATACTCCATTGCCTGATGAAAATATTCGGGAAAAAACTGAAATGTGCGGTATGTTTCATTAACAAGTTTTATTTCTGCTGCTGTTCACTCTCTTTGATCTTTTTGAGGTATCGCACGGAGATAACAGATACGTGGAACCAGATTTTCAACAGGAACATTATGCATGCGTGCGCATGACTGCGCCATCTTTTTCCCAAAATTTTTTTGCGGCTGCTCTCATTCTGGGGAAGTTTGAATGCCTGTGCCCGAAATCAAGCGGGACAATGTCCTTGTTCCCATCACAGATATAAAATGGGTCGCCAAGAATGTATTCACTGTTTGTGTGCCGTTATACAAGAAAGTGATCAGCTGCGAGTTAGCTGCAGTTGATGTGCCACGCGGCACGGCACCTCTCCTTGAGAGCACTTTAATGGCAGTACTGGAGCGCGTACGCCGGGCACCGCATAAGTACCTTCGGCAAGATTATTACTCCTCTTTTCCGCTGCAGGGCTACGGTGACATCGTCTTCGCCTTGGAGGTTGAGAGGGTGATTGGTGAAGTTGAGGCTGAGGAAAAGGTTACACAATGGGACTCGTTACAGGAAAGTCTGCTGCGGCACGGTGCTGGACGCATTGTGCGTCCTGTCAACGCGCGGTTGGAATACCTTATTGATGCGGAAATACAGGGCTCGTCTTGCCCCCTCGCAGCGCGGGACAACGGGGTAGAGCCGTGCACATGGGCGAAGGGGTTGCTGACGTTTGAGTCTAGTTCAATGTTCCGTAAGGTATTGACTGGTCGAGTGGTGGACGTTCTGCGCGGGGATGTGTACGTGGTTCACTGGGACGAAGGGTGTCGCAGCAACAAGACGGACAACAGTGACATGTCGGAAGAAGCGTGGCCGCCCCCACTTGTTGTCCTGGATGCCGTGAAGTGCTTCTCACCACGGACTGATATTGGATACAGGGCGAAGCGCTGGATGCAGAAAAATCTCATTTTTTCTCATGTTGAGGTGTGCGTGCACTGTACCTCCCCCTCGGAGAAGGATGTGGCGAATAACACACAACTCTATTTTCATGAGCAACTACGATGCGTCCGCGCGAGTGTTCGTCTGTTGGATGTGAATGCTCCTGCGGGTGGGGGTAGTGCGCGTAGCATTGGTGATGTGGGTTGTGAGCTGATTTCGATGGGGCTCGGATTCGTACGACAGGTTCTGGACGCCGCAATGCCGCGTGCATCTGGCTTCCACGACCTCCTGCGAGCCGCCAGCACACGGTGTTGCGCTGCTGTTACCGATCCTCTTGATGCCACGGTTCCGGCCGCCGAGAATACATCCGCCTTTGGGGAATGGGTGCTTGAAGGCCCGCCTATACCAAGTGGCGCGGTGCAGACGCTCAGGAGCTTTTTTGGCGATGCGTGGCTTGGCTGCCCTCCATTGGTGGCTCTCTGGCAGACTACTATGTGGTCCGGGAGAATCGACAGGAGTGCACACGATTACCCCCCGTGTGTTCACGACGACCGCCCGATGCGCACTCTCTGGAGCATGGAGACACTGCTGAAGGAGAACATCACATTTGACGGGTACGTTAAGTCCATGTCATTATTGCAGGAGTCACGCGTGGCGCATCATAATCCTCATCACAGACGAGGGCTGCAACAGGATCAGGATCAGGAAAATAGGGAATCACAGCCTCGTCTGTTTCTTCGCATGGAAATCAATGCTGTGTTCACTGACGCCACAGTTTGCAGCATAAAGGCCAAAATGGAAGCAAACAATCTGGGCTCTATTACTCTGTACCCGCCTGAGGGGACCATCTTCAGAAGCAGCGCCAATGTGTCTGTCGTACATGAGAGAATGCTGAGCGCTACTCAGCCCAATGATGCGGTGTATCTCTCGGCCTCCGTCACGTCATACCGACCACATATGTACGATCCCAAGAGGCACTGTCCCGCTTTTTTTGACAATACGGTACGGTCTGAGGACGGCAAGCAGCAGACGAGAAATGTGATTAAGCTGAAAATCGAAGACAATGCAGGGGAAATGTTTTTTGTTGTTGACGTCGAGGTGCAATTTGGCAGTCGACGTGAAGTGTTACGCCATCGTGGCATATATCACCTTATCACGTCGTCGCAGCTCCTTGACGATGGGAGCGAGTCGTCGCTAAGTGAAGGTAGCGATGGTGATGGCGATCGCAATGATGATATCGACAAGGAGAAAGACTCATTGCCCGGTGACAACAGCAACGGGGTGGAAATGGACGGACAAAGACACGGGAGGCACTCTGCTGACTTGCTGGAGTCTGCGGCATATGGTACAGAGACCGTGGAATCGTGGAATAAAGAGACAGTGACGACTACAAAATATTACCACTGTATTGTTGACTTTTACTTCGAAGTGGATGCAGTAAGAGCAAAAGAGGGGAATTTTCCTACGCAGAAGATGCGGGAGTGGGGTGAGCGATTGATGTACCGTGATGTGCACTGTGTGCCGGTGGGCATCGGTGTTGTGAACGGGGATCGGGGATATATAGGTGACATTCGGCAAGTTGCTGCTGCGGAACAGGACGGCTCCACCAGTCCTGCTGGTCCTGTTAATGGTGGGACTCACAGTGTCCTCTCTCAACTAATGAAGGAGTGGTGGCCAGCCGAATATCAATCTCAGGAGATGTGCGGCCGTACATGGGGGAGTACACCATATCTAGTGAAAAAATGGTACCTAAGAATGCCCCTTGTAATGGTTAGACAGGAGTCCGAGATTCGAGAGAGGTTGAATAACGAGTATTACGAGCTGCTGCAGCCTCTATGTGAAAAGATGCACAGTGCAGGGTTGGCTGTGACGAATTTTGCATCCTTTTTGGATGATTGCCGCACTCTCAAGAAAGGGGAGGAGCGAGTGTCCTCAATTCAGGACCTCGATGGTAGCAAGAGCGATGATGATGATGATAACGACAACGACGTTTTCGCCGTGAGTGCTGGGAAACCCACGTTTTGGTACCATGTAGAAGCGGAGGTGCCACCCGTTGAGGGAAGAGAAGCCGTCAGTGTGTGCGGCGCCGTGCAGGCGCACCCGAAGAGTAGTCGATGCGGACCAGCTCTTTGGCCGGTGCTTTCTCTGTCGCTTCTGCCGCCGAATCTTCCCCTCTTTGTGTTGTCGATCTCTCCACGCCAACTCTTCACCTCACATCATGAGCATCATCGCACGGTGGCCTGTGGGAGTGCATCGCAGGATATAAGGCCAAACATGAGCCTTCACATCGATGCGAGCTTCGTGCGTTTGCCGCGCCGCTTTCTCCCTTTTCTTTTCGCTTCCAACTACGAACGATTGCCGGTGGCTATGCGTAACGTGGAACGGGCCTTTTGTGACTCGCTGCAGCAAGACGACACACTGCGCCAAGCGGATTCGCCAAAAACAATGCTTTACGCAGCCGAAGGCCCCTTTGTGGGGATCCTCTCCGCCCTCTTGTTGTTGCAACGAAAGCCACACCATGAATGCGGTACACACAGTTGCCCAAAACATGTCTACACGGATGTACACAACCTGATGGAGAGCGAACAAGTTGCTTCTTATGAGATTCAGCCTTCAGTCTGTTGCCGTGGAGTACTTTACAGAGTGTACCCGGAGGTGGACGGGGAAAAAGAAGAGCAACAACAGCAGAAGCAGCCCGTCCTATTTTTTGGATCGCGCGACACCGTTCTGAGTGACGCGTTTGACACACCACAGTGCGTATTTGCTCGAAATGGGCGTATCGTAAAGCGGGCCGTGAGTGTTTTGGGACTCGAATCACTCGTTGCGCCTCGAGCGGGTTGTATTGTCAAGGAGGAAAGTGACGAAACTTGCGTCCCGCTTGTGGAGACAAGTGGTGAGGAATGTCACCCGATGGTCTCAAGGGGAATGGGACAATATCCACTGACGAACGCCACCCCACGCCTCTATCACCGGTTCTCTTGGCTCGCTGTGCTCGGCCCGCCCCTATTCGCACATGACGAGTTCGACGCCGAGACACTAGGCCGCCGCATTGAGCTTGCTGAAGGGGGAAAATTGGTCCGCCGCCACGTTGCGGTGATGTACATGCCGCTGAATACGTCTAAGAACCCATACGTTTCATCATCATACGGTCAAATGTCCCGGCGCCGTGTTTACCGCATACATCATAAACGCGTGGAGAAAGGTGGATGGCTGAGGGACTACCTTTCGCTGCTGCTGCGTTGCCGATCCGTGCATGCCGCTGACGCCGATGACACTGTCCAGATTGCTGATGGTGTTTTGCATGTGTATGGAACTGCAAATGAACCCCTTTATTTATTCTATCAGACACGCAAACAGCTGCGTTTTCATCTTGGTATGATGCTGCCCTCCATTCTTGCTAGTCCGGACAGCGCGGAAGATGCGGCAAGCGCAGAGGCTGAGTCTGAGGAGCAGTTAATACGTCAACTGTCCGAGGCCGGCAAACGCATTATTGAGCTGGTGGCGGAGAGGACGGCACAGACGTCGGGGTCGATGAAAGTGAATGAGGAGAAAGAGCAACCGCCCTCGCGTGTCTACCTTGATATTCGTGCGGACTGTCAGTTGCTCGGTGATGTTTCCAACGTTATGCGAGTTTCCGTTTACCCGGTAGTAGGGGAAGCGAAGGAGAGAAATACGGCATCAGAGAGCAGCACCAATCCCCATCAGCCTTTCGACATGTATGAAAACGTGTATGGCGTCCTTGCGCAAGACGTTCTTGTCGTTAAATACGTTGAATCTCAAGGCGGTTATGTTTTTGAGTGGGATCAAGACTACGAGCGTACGCCGGATTCACCCAGGGGGGATTCTGTTGGCCATTAATCGGGCCAGATTGCTTTTGGTATAACCGGAACAGGGAAATGCGCGAGGGTAAGGTTCTTTTTCTCTCTTGCTTGATACTGGGCGTTAGGGTTGTACTGTTGTCTTTCATCGCTATAGTAAAAAGACTTAAAAAATCGAATGGGACACATAAACTTTTTTTTCGTTTTGCGTTTGCTATACTCCGGGTTCTCTTCTTGCTAAAATTATACTCCAATAGCGCGTGGGGCAGTTCTCCAACGGCGCCCACCTTCTTGATTTTACTAACCCTTTCTCTCTTTTTTTCCTTCCGTTACACTCGCATCCAAGGAAAGGAACCTGGGTAGACTTGTGTTGTTCTGGTTAATTTTCTGCCTCTTGCATGTCGTCGAAAAGTCTGCTGCTTGTCGACCCCGACGTGGCGAAGGAGCGTGCGCAGCCGATGGACATGTACGTCCCGCAGCAGGACGATGACTGGACTAGCGACGCGTACGAGCGACTCAACGGCAGCCGGCGGCCGCGCGAGTTGTGTGGCGACTGGCCCTCACACCGTGTGCTCACCGCGTGCTTCTCGTCGCTTCTGATCGCCCTCGGCACTGCCCTGTGCGTGTTAGTGGCGGTGTGGAAGGAGCACCCGGCGGCGCTGCCTTTCTGCAAGGGCTGCACTACCATCCTCTTCGTCGCGGTAGGTCTCGGCTTGTTCGTCTTTGTATTGGGCGTCATCGGCGCGTTGTCTGTCTGGCGTCAGACCAAACCGCTGTCCATGTGCTTCTCGCTCCTTCTTGCGGTCGTGACGCTCGCGGTGTTCGCTGCGGGTGTGATGGCTGTGCTGGTACAGAAGGTGGTGATCTCGCCCAACGATGCCATGCGGCATCTCTGGCAGGATGCTGTGGCGCACGACCCGTACATGGTCTGTGATGTGCAAGAGGTGCTGCAATGCTCCGGTTATCGTCCCACGCAGTGCTGCGTCAGCAACGCAACGAGGACGACGACAATGTCAGCACTACCGCCAGTAGCAATGAATCTGCAGCGTGACGCCGAACCGTGCTATTTGGTTGGCGCCGACGGGGAGACAACGCTCGACCCAAAAACGCTACAGCCCGTGACGTGGCCGCGGGAGTACTGCGCAGCCACATGCAACGCTTCTAACATTTACAACAACACGTGTGAGGCTCCCCTGCAGGAGCAGCTCAAGAGTGTACTTCCCCCAGCAATTTGGATCTTATTTGCCCTTGGGGCGGTGCTACTGCTCTTTTCTGGGCTCGCTGTGTACCGCGTGTGTGGTGTGCGCAAGGGACGATCTCGTGTCCGCTACGAATATTGATGACCGGGCGCAAAAAAAAAAAGAAAAGGGAAATGAGTATATGATATATGAGTCTTTGACGCAAAGTTATGCTTGCGTCATATTCTACCAGGAGTTACCAAAAACAATACTGATCGGTTGATTACTTTTGCTGCTTCTGGTTATTTGTCACTTCATGTTCCGTTGCGTGAGTTTTTGTTGACCCTCTAAATGCCGCTTTTGCAAACAGTGCGCAAAGAGCCTGAGCCCAGAGGGGGAGAGAGAGAAAGGATTATATGTTCTACGAGTCGGAAACAGAGATGGCGGCGACAGTGCGTCTGCGTATATATTCCTTGACGGAGGCGAGGCTTTCCATAGTATGCATTGGGTTGACGTGGTGGTGTGGCTTGCGTGTGCCTTCTGGGGCTTCTCAAGGCTCGTTCTTATTTTTTTTTTTTAATTAAAAAAAAAGTAGTGACAGTGTAATGCAGAAGGTGCGATGAGACAAGACTCGGCCACTGTGCAGCGAAGAGTAGGGCTCGCGAGGGGTGTGCCACCACGTGTGCGGGATGTGTACATGCGCGTCAAACGCTTGCGTGGCACCGACGATGACGACGATAAGAACGGCAGCAGCAACAACAACATCGGTGATGTTTCGGCGCCACCCCTTCTGCGAATCCGATTGGATGAAGATAGTGCTTCTTCCGATTCTATGAGGGCCCTGCTGGGCGATGCCTCCGAGATGCTGTGTGCCTCGGGGGAGGGGCATCAACATCCGCAGCTGCAACAGAGTTCCGCATTGCACTTTCGTTTACTTACAAAGGAGGGAAATGCCGCGCCTCAAGAACCTGCAACAACTAAAGCGAGAATTGCCGTCACACCTCCAACTACTCCTGTACTATTTGTTGAACGCGTGTGGGATCTCCGCGGATGCGTGGTGATGGATTGCGCAGCCGTAGAGCAGAAGCAGGGGACCCTTGGCTCTGTTGCTGATGTTGTTGCATCTGAGGGGGGCGGTGGCGGCCCGGCAGAAGGGTCTGAGGGGAAATGGCCCTTGTACATCCTTGACAGGGAGAGTGTGACGTTGAGAGGAAAAGAAGATGAAGAAGAGGTGGTGGTGGTGGTGGATGATGAAGATGAGTTTGGCTTCGACAACTTGCACATTACGCTGCCTGAAGAAGATGAAGCGACGCTACTGTCTACAGGTTGCAGCTGTCAGGTGGGCCGCACACAGCGTAAGCGTCCTCGCGAGGTGGAAGAGGCGCCAGAGTACATTCTCTCTTCAGCCCTGCAAGACGGTGGTGTCAACTGGGCTGGCCGCAGCGAAGATGCGGTGGAGACGGAGGCGGCGTTGTATGATATGTTGCACGACTATGGCCAGAATTGCTTCCTGCTGGAGGATGACGCCAGCTGCGACCCAGAGCTGTATCTGTACCCTGACCACCGCAAGGACGATGAATATGACAGCAACGCGGCGGATTTCTCAGGCAATGAGTACCCGGAGGAACCGAGTACGAGTAGTAACAGCAGCAAAGGAAGCAGTACGTGCATGGAAAGTGAATTTTATGAGGACTCCGAGGTGCGGCACCACCGCAGGCGGACGAAGGACCTGTGGTGCGAGGACGGTTACAATGAGGCGCCGCTCGGCAGCGGCTGGGACAGCCTCGAGGAGGACGATTAAAGTGTGATTAGTTTGTCTGCCCGACAGAGGCTGTCAGCAATCGCACATATGCCCTGGCACTCTCTTGTGTTACAAAGACATTCCATCGAATGTGTTTTTTTTTTTTTGCTTGTTGCTTCTTTCCCTTATTTTTTTTTCCTGTCTTTTTTTGGTGTGTGTTTGTGTGATGGAGTGTAGCCTCTCTTTTTATGGACGACAACGGGGAGGGCTGGGAGGAATTCGACGAGCAGCCGCAGCACCAACGCACTGCGGACGACTTGGCGGACCCATTCGCCGAAGAGACGCTCGCAACTGCGCGCGCCATACATTCCGATGACGATGCGCTTCGCTACGACAGTGTGAAGGAGGTGACACTTCTCCTGCGCTCGGCGTACATGAGCCAGATGCTGCAGAAGCTGAGCGACTACAGCGAGCAGGAGGAGACAAAGAACACCATCATCTCAGACGACCCCGAGTATCAGTTTGTCATTGACTGTAGCAAACTCGTGCTGCGCATTGAGGTGGAGAAGAGCAAGGCGGTGGTTTTTTTGCGGGCGCACTACAACCAGCGATTCCCCGAGCTCCCCATGTTCTTCTCCGACAGCGTGCTCTACGCCCGCGTGGTGCGCATCATCCAGAACACCATGGACTTGTCTGCTGTGATTGACCGACTCGACGAGTTGGTGCCGTCTCAGCTCACTGCCGTTGTGGTTGCGTGCGCCTCCACCACGACGGGGCGGGAGCTGAGCGATGATGAGCTGCATCGGGTGCTCGAGGCGTGTCAGGAGATTGACACGCTCGAGGCCGCCAAGCAGACGTTCCTCGAGTACATTCAGCGTTCTATGCCGCTCATCTGCCCGAACCTCTGCGCCTTTTTGGGGACTGGCATCACGTCTCAGCTGTTTGCCATCGCCGGCGGCGTGCGCGCGCTGTCAACGATGGACCCCGGCGAGTTGTCGCGCCTCGGCAGCACGCGCGCCGGTTCCTCTGGCATTGCGTTGCGCACAACCGGCTTTCTCAGCAACTCCGACTTTGTCGTTAACCACCCACCACAGCTGCGGCCCAAGGCGCTGCGTCTGGTGGCGAGTACTACCACGATGCTTGCGCGCATTGACGCGAACAGGCGGGCCGCGAGTCACCAGGAGGGCCTCCGCCAGCGGGAGTTGGTGCGGCTAAAGATGTTGTCATGGTTGGACCCTCCAGTGCTGCGCGGGGCTGCGAACAATACGTACGAGCGCCGTGGGAGGAAGCGGCAGAGGCGACCGACGAGATAGGTGTGCCACGGCTTATTAAGACGACATCCGCTCTTGTGTAGCTTCTCCGGCTCTCTTTTTTTTTTTT